GGCTAATGTCCTAAAAAAAATCTTCATATCATTGAGGATGGGTCCCTCCACAAAATGTCACCATCATGCACAAACATTGATGTTGCCTTCACTTCCCACTTCTCAGCCACATCCCATGGTTACCATGGAAATTACATTCATAAAATGTGACTCACAATAGGATGAGCTCTCAGAGAAAATAGTGAATCATGGTGCCAGAAGGGGTTAGGCTGCAAAAAAAACCTGAGGATTAATTTTAAATAGTTAATATGCTTGGGCATGCTTCAATTTTGCTTTTTAATTAAACTGAATTTCTTAACGAAAAATGGGGGAGTGACAACAAAAACTTACTTGCTTTTCAACTATGACAAGAATGGATTTAGGAAATATATACGTTAAAAAAAACTTAGGTGGGTGTTGACTAATAACAGTTTTGTGGGAGAAATAGGATTTAGGAAACTCCATTTCTAGTGTGTGATTCTGGAGCCAGATTACTAATATCAGTGAAATTACACCCAATGTATACAACCCCCATCCCCAGACATAAATGGCACTTCCCAAACCCTACCATTTTTCCAAGAGAAATAATGAAATACTCAGCTCAATTGCTTCATGGCAACAAAGCTTGTAAGAACATCTGGTGAGAGTTTCGTGAGCACACTCAATGAATTACTGAGCATTCCATAAGGGGGGTGGGTTATTCTCTGGCTGATTAGGGTCTTCAGCTTGAGCTTGCACACTTACTAGAGGACAACATTTTTTGGTTTTGGCAGTTGGATTTCTGCTTGGTAAGAGGTGATATGCAAAAACCTTACTTAGATGGATAATAATGTGATTTGTGGGCATTGATTCTGGCCCCTAGTCTAAAATATGGTGTTCTTTGAGGTAGGGAAAACAAGAACAGAGTGCCTTAAAGTGAAATTTATCTCTGCTGGAAGGAAATGTGGGGAACAAAAAGTTGTATTTGACAGGGAGTGAGTATAGCACTTACTTCAGACTGTTTGGTAGTTACTTAGCACCTTAGATCAGCTTGCTCTTGCAGTGACGTTGAAGGGAGACTTGCTGGTGGAGTATTTGTCAAAGCTTTGCAAATTGTACTCTCTGATGAAAGTGTAGAGAAAACGGAGTCCGCATTGCTGGAGCTGTATGACCAGAAATAGATAAGAGATTATTTCTCTTGTAATTTCTCATCCAGAGTATGACACCTCTTTTAAAGGAATATTCCTTATAATGGCATTAGAATCAGTCTGTCCAGTATGGGACACATTTCTTACTCTTGCTTTTGGCCCAAGCAGATCCTTGAGCTTGTGCAGATCTGAGTTCAGTGAGACATTATACTTTTCAGGAATGCATGGTGAGCTTGGATTTAGTGATTAAACTCTTATGCAATATTTAGTCAATGGTGCTTCATGTTGGAGTAAGGGCATATGTGTATAGATCTGATTGCCTTAGTAAAGCCCCAGGGTACTATCTCCAGCTTCAATTCGTCTTTCATTAAAGAAATGTAAATAAACACTGAGGAAACTAGAACAATTGGTACTCATGCTGGAGTATCTCCAGTGATGTACACGTCAGTATACAGGCGAGGTAGTGTCCTTTACATAGATATTAGTATTATTTTGCTTATATAAAAAAGTTTCCCAAATACATACCCACTCAAATCAATCCATGTACGCATTATTTAAATTTATTCTGATTGATATGTATATATGTGTGTGGGTGTTTAGGATATAAATTAACAGTGAACCTCATTAATGTTTTTATAGTTGAGTACAAGAAGAACAGGAATTAGCTTGCATAATTTTTATATTACCTATTCATATTTTAAAAGAAATGGTTGTTTTATGAGTACATGACAATTTATGCCTGTGGGCTAAAACTTTTAAAAGCATCGTTTCATTTTTAGTGACTGAAAGCTCTTGGGCCAGATTTCCAAAGGTGTTTTATTAACTTAAAGATGCAGATAGGCACCAGGTGGGATTTTCAGAAGTGCTTCAACTGGATAGATGCATGTATCCTCGAGAATTAATGGGAGCTAGGCATCTAAATTAGAGAAATGTTATTTGGACATAATTTGCCAACTTACTGAAATTAGAATATTTCAGGGAAACAGTCTGACCTTCTGATGGGCTTGCAGCCAGGAAATACGGGGCTTTCATGATCCATGGCTGTGATGCAGACAGTCACGTGGTTTGCCCAAGAACCAGGGCTCCATTCCCTTTCTCAGTGTTTGGTTTTCTTTCCTAATGGGAATGTAACCAGCTTTTGAAAAATGAAAATCCACTGTGAAGCAGAATTACCTTTCTCTGCTCAGCTCTACTAGGCCTTTGTAAATCTGGCCTTTAAGGGTATGTCTAGACTACATTGCTCTGTTGACGGAGCAATGTAGATGAGTTTACTAGACATAGGAAAATGAAGCAGTGATTTAAATAATCGCTGCTTCATTTACATCAAAATAGCCACCGTGCTGTGCCGATCAGCTGTTTGGTGGCACAGCGGGGCTGTCTGGATGTGACGCGGTCGACAAAGGAAGCCTTTGTCAACCGCTCTGGTAAACCTCATTTCATGAGGCATAACAAAGAGGTCGACAAAGACTTTCCTTGTCGACTGTGGCGCATCCAGACTGCCCCGCTATGCTGCCAAACAACTGATTGGCACAGAAGAGTGGCCATTTTGATTTAAATGAAACGGCGATTATTTAAATCACCGTTTCATTTTCCTATGTCTAGTAAACTCATCTACATGGTTCCGTCGACGGAGCCATGTAGTTTAGACATATCCTAAGAGCCTAAATTCCATTGACTTTCAATGAGACTCAGATAGCTAAGTGTCTAAATCTCCTTTGAAAATGGAACTTAGGCTCTGAAATCACTGAGCCACTTTGAACATTTTACTCTTGGGGCCTTGATTCAGAAAGACATCAATGAAAGAGAAGAGTAACATAGATATCCATTTAAGTTTTTTACTAGCTGGCTAGAGAGACACACACACACATATTCCATGCAAGGAGAAGATTCAATGTATTCCGTTATAAATGATAAATCAACATTTAAAATAAGTGTTTTCAATACCAATTAATTGATTAGGATGTAGAAATTATGCAGTCAATATGCATGTGTTTTAGTCCAAGTCTTTGAATATGAAAATAGGTATTAATGAAAAATATATTACATTATGGAATGTGTTAACCTAATATAAAACATATTAATAATTCAGCTTTATGTCGTATTTTGTGATGACTGGTGCTTATTGCAGTAGAATGAATGTGCATACATTAGTACAGACATTTAAAGACTTGAATATTTAGCTGGAAAAGCAGACACATTTTTAAAATGTGCAATATAAAAATGAAAAGGAAGCAAAAGATCTTTCATACTTGCACATACTTTGCTACAGTCTAGAGTTGCTAATGCTGTTATGCATCATTTTATAGCTATTGTTTCTAATTATGCAGAGATGATCTTTAAACTTACTCTATAGAATAAGAGGTGTAATAAAATATGGTAGTGTGATTATGCATTGCTATGTAGAATGAATGGGCCAGGAAAAGAAAGTTAGGCTTGGTCTACACTAGCAACTTATGTCTCTGGTGACACAGTTATACTGACCTAATTCCCACTGTGTTGATTGAAGGGCTTCTGTTGATATAGCTACCATCTCTCCCGGGGCGGTAGGGTGTGTGTGGGGGAAACCTATGCCAAAGGGAGAAGCCTTCCTGTTGGCATAGGTAGCGTCTTCACTGAAGCACTACAGTGATGCAGGTACATTGGAGTAGTTACATGGCTACAACTTATAGACAAGCCCTGCGACTATCTTTATGGCCTGGTAGTTAGAACAGTCATCTAGGATAGAGGAAAGCCAAGATGAAGACCCTGCTCCAAGAGCTATTTAATTATGTATATAAAATGGAACAGAGTCAGCAGGAGAGTTTTGAGACCTGCCCCAGAATATCCCATAGTCCTAGGCTACTCTCCTGTAATGTGGAGGGCCCATGTTAAAATTTCTGCATAAGAGGGAATTCTCTTCACAGCTCTCCCACACTCAAGCCACCACCTGGAGAAATCCATTTTGTGTGGAACAACCTCCACTGTATTTAACCCAAAATAGTTTTTTTTTAGAATGTCCTGATTTTTTTTGCAATGTTCTGTTTGATTGACCTGAACAAAATCCCCCTCTCCTCTCTGAACTGAAGTTTGCCCAGCTCTGCTTATGAATCCAGGCAGCATTGACTCTGACTCTGGCTGTCAAAATAAATCTAAACTATCAAGGTACCTTATCTTGTATTTATTAAAACTCACAGAATCTTTTTCAGGGAACAAGACAATGCACTCAGATTTAAAATACCAATAGAGATTAGAATAAGCATAAGTGTACATGCACCACTCTCCTCTGCCCCAGCCAAAAAAAAAAAAAAAATCCTCCTGCAGGTGATGTTGTAGTTACCAGTCTTTGCTCAAGTCAGTCTAGTGGCCAGCTCTGTTGTGGCTGGAGAAGGAATCCAAGCCTCTTTGCTCTCGCCCTTCTTTTATAGTAGTTGATTCTCTTGCAAGTCTATGGATCCTGCTGAGTCATTCTGTAATCATTTATTGTTGAAATTGAATCTGTATTACCAGTTGGAGCCTGTTGCCTTCATTGACTCAGAATAAGGCCCTTTATAACTCTCAACCATACTCACCTAGGAGCGTCACTCCATTTAAATCTAAATTTATATCTCTTCTTTTAAAACCCATTATTTCACTCTTTAATATTGTGCTATTGACTATGTGAAGGCTAAATCCTGCAAAATAGGCTATGGCACTTCATCACAATTAATTCCATATCCTTTTCAGATTTCTTCTTCATCTGTGGTTTTGGTGGGCTTTTTATTCTTGATTTTTTTCATGTATTAGGACCTGGTCTCAGAGCAAAGATTAGAAGAATGGATGAAAATGTAATTTAGAAGAGGTGTGGCAATGAGGTTTTTTTAAATCTCTTGTAAATCCCAGTACTCACTTTTTCCTTTTTTTTTTTTTAATCTTCAGGTTGTGGTGCCCTTCTGCTTTTGAGGAGATGATCATTCATATTTGAGAACATGTCAGAGTAAAAGTAGTCAAAGCGCCGAGATATATGGCAAAATGGTGATGGTGCTGAGCTCTCTGGTGATAGCGCTGAGGTCTCCTCCACCCACTAAAATGGTGAGATGGTCGATAAATAGCTTATTTAAACTGATACATTGTTTTCTCTATTTGTCTGTGGTATGCAATACTTTTGTCTCATATTTCACTTGCAAAGAAGCATGTACTAAACAGCATCTCATGCATTTTTGATAAAAATGATTTATGAAGTTATATGAAGAGGGCATAGTTCAGGTTGTATTAAGGAAATATAGGAACTGAGGCACACTGTAACATGGAGATTGCCATGACTCCACCACCCGATCATGGTCTCACTATCCGTGCTGGATCATGGCTGACAGGCCTAGTGGCTAGAGCCAGGTTCAGGTATCAGGAATCAGAGCCATGTGTTGATTCAGGATCACGAGCCAGAAGTCAGGAGCCAGACCACAAGGGTGAGTCAGAAACTGGGTAATGGATGTAAAGCCAAGGTCAGGAACCAGGCATCATGAGCAGCACAAAGAAGCAGGTGGGTAGCAACTGCTAGATGGCCTTCTGGCTACTTGCACAGGCACATTTTTTTCTGTCCTTTCTAAGTTCAAGTAGGGTGTCTGCACCAATTCGGAATGTCCTGTCAGTAAGGCCCTCAGTGGGTGGCACATCCTGTGGTGTGTGAGAGCCTCCAAGCCTTCTGATGTATTGACTATTTCTGCTGCTAGAATGTTTCTGTGTTTCTGGCAGCATGGAGGCAGCTATCACTCAGGGACTCTGAAAATCCAGGTTCTAGATGCCCTGTAGCCTTACACTCCCCATCCTCCACCTGGAATAGCACAGGGGACCTTTCCAATCCTGCTAAAGAAGATACAGCTGCAGGAGCCTGTCCCTTGTCAAGGACAGCGACTGAGAAGCATCCTTTTACCTAGCAACAGGTAGATGGGACGAGTCACTGTACTTTCCCCCGTAACAAAGAGTTCTTTGCTGGGGCCCCAAACTATGTCATAGGTGTAGTTGCCCCATTCTTCTGAGTGATGGGTTAAGGCAGGTGATGCCAAGCAAAGCTATTGTTTCAAGCTGCAGACTCCATTGTTGGACCATCATTTATGCTCAGTTTATGTTTTCAGGTTTTAATTCACTAACAGGAGGGCTAGATTCTTCCCATCTTTTTTTTTAAATGAAAGCTGAGAGTCTGATGTAAACATGTGACTCCCGGAGCTGGGCCTTAGATGTGAATATATAATTCTTTTGCCATTGTCCAGGCTCGGACAGAGTGTTCCATGAATCGTTTTGTATTTCCTGGGTGGGTGGTGCTGGCAGTAGCATCAATGATTTCTCCTTCTCTCACACAGAGGTTCCTGTTAGGTGGCAGTGAAGGGGCTCCAGGCTACTACAAATTATTCCATATGTCTCCAGAGACGCTATAAAATCCTGCCAAATCAATCCACAAAATCTGTGGGTTAATATCTCACACAAAACCCATAGAGATAGAGATAAAATATTGACACTTTATTTAACTGAAGTGCTCCAGAAAATTATTTTGCTGAACAGGTGACATCCAAATGGAAGAAAAGAAAGTGAATTGGATTGGAGTAAAAGAAGTTTTAAAGAGGGAGAAGACAGACTTAGAACTTTGAGACAAGTGTTTATTTGCAGGGCAAAAATCTAACATCTAACAGACTTGTTTGAAACTCTGCACTTTATATTCTTCTTATCTTTAAAAAGATTGGACAGATATTTACTACTGCTGTGACATTAATTTAATAAAATTACATTTGCTACATTGACCATTCTTTCAGGCTTGCTTGCTAGTATGTTATTGGAAAGGGCTATTCTCACTGGATGTTTATTTTTCTGTCCAAATATACTATGGCACAGATGTGAGATTCTCTAGAGAGGCATGATTTCTACTGAAGCTATGTAAAGGAATTGCTAATTCTCTTTACTACCCCACTCTGACAGAAGTTCAGCTTCTGTCAAGGTAGTTATTACTTGTGCAGTCAGCAGCTAGTGCAGTTGCTGATGTCTGTTGATGAGAGACTAGAAAGAAGCAACAACATACGGTGAAATCAATATGCTTTGCAACACAGCCTATTGAAACTGCAATATAGTATAAGAGCCTAAGTTTTTTTTTCAAATACACTTTAATTATGCACTTTTGATTAAAACAAAGCAAAAACAAAAAGAGACTTGAAAAGAAAGGAAAGGACTGTGACTTCCAGTTAATAAACCAACGTTGTTTGGATTACCTCTCAGGAAGGTAATCATGGTCAGATATGTGTCAAGTAGTTAATTCTGCCCTTTTTTTTATGAATGTATAAATGTAGCACTTTAATATAATGTGTTTTAGAAACAGGTGATAACAACTGGTATTATTTCAAAGAGAACCTTAGATTATTTTGATCCAAAGCCAAATGAAGCTGCTGGAAGGACTCTTATTGATTATAATGAGATCTAGTTTGAAGCCCACATTGTAACCTTCAGTGAAAACACAAGAATAACAACAGCTGAAAAGGAGATACATATATTCATAAACTGTCCTTTCTTCCAATTGAAAAAAAATCATGTAATTTCTTTTCATTTATTTTTCTCTCTTGACAAGATTTATTCAAGTGAAAAGCAAGAAGGGAGAAGGTACAGCGCTTGACTTCCTCTGCTTACTGTTCAGGAAACATCTAATTCATAAGAGGTAAGGGATACTAGTATAGTAAGTAACCTATAGTTATTTTGGATAAAATTCTTTGCTCATTGAAATCAACAAGAATTTTGTCAACTTCAGTGGGGGACAGGATTTCACCTTTGGTATAGATCTTTAAAACATTCAGATGACTTTGGGACTGATCATTTTACAAAATCCATAAAAAGGAAATATGTTCAAGACATTTTAAAAAATAAAACAGATTTTTAAATTTCAAATCTTTCCTGCACTGCTGGGAACTCAAACATTGCAATGTCATGATAGCTGAGCAAAATGCAAAAGTAAAGATGATCTACAGTAAATTAGGATTTTGTAAACTTTCCATATGAAGGATCTAGGGCTCAGTCCTTCAAGTTGCCTTCTGTAGGTTTCACACAGATGCAAAGGTCTGTGTCCATGAACCAGCTTGTGAAAATGTGCTAAGACATTAGAGAAACAAAAATTTTTAAGTATTTGATATTTTTCTCTTAGGCTGTGTCTACATTGGCACCCCTTTCCGGAAAAGGGATGCTAATGAAACCAGTCGGAATTGCAAATGCCGCGGGGGATTTAAATATCCCCCGTGGCATTTGCATGAACATGGCTGCCGCTTTTTTCCGGCTCGGGGTTTTGCTGGAGAAAAGCGTCAGTCTAGACGGGATCTTGCGGAAAATAAGCCCTTTTCCGCAAGATCCCTTATTCCATTGAAAGTAGGAATCTTGACTGTCATGTGATTTGGTTTATGTAGATCTGAGGGAAACCAGGACACTCCAAAGAGACCGAGTCACTTCCATATCGATTCAAGTTAATTCATTACTAGAGCCAACAACATAAGCTACCAAATCAGAGGATCATTTAACTGTACATCCAGTAATTTGATCCTTGCTATCAGATGCCAGCAATTCCCCACTGCTATATATATTGGACAAACTGGATAGTCCCTACAGGAAAGAATCAATGGACACAAATCAGATATACGTAAAGGGAACATACAGAAACCTGTGGGAGAACACTTCAATCTACCTACTCGCTCTTTAAAAGATCTCCAGGTAACTGTCTTGTCACAAACAAATTCTACAAGCCAAATACACAGAGAGGTGTTGGAATTACAATTCATCCACAAATTCAATTCCTCCACTGATCACCTTCTCAGTCGAGATAACGGATGGCTGGGACATTATCAACCTAACATTCAATGAAGGTGCCAACAGCTCTTTGTCTGTGTAGATTCTTGCGTTAGTACCCTTCCTATCTAATTGCTATCCTATGATCCTTATCTGCTTCGTTTAACTATCCAAGCTTTAGGTGTTTATAGACTACCAGCTCTGCCTACTTGTTTTGCCCTTTGATATTTTCATTCCCTCTGCTCCTTGTTTCCCACTCCCTTCTCTTTATCCTTCCCCCCTTTCCCTTCTCCCCTATTTATTTTGGGCCTGCACATCCTAAACTCAAAACTCCGGTCATCTGAAGAAGTGGGCTGTGCCCATGAAAGCTTATGATACAATCTACATGTTTGTTCGTCTATAAAGTTCTACCAGATCATTTGTTGTTTTTAAAGTTTATTCTTATTTATTGTAAGTTTTAAAATAATTTATACAATTTTAAGCTTGTCCCCTGCAGTCACTCAAGAACAATTATTATAATACAAAGCAATGCATACAGTATTCAAACAAGTGGGTCATATTACTTATTGCAAGCTACTTACTCCAATCTTTAAACTCAATTCACGTATAGTTAACCAGTACTGCAGCCTTACAATGCTAGACAGGAGGTCGTTGCCTCTTTCTTTTCCCACTCTTTGAGGTGCCCACAATTTATGCTGCTGGAATGAATGGTTTCTACTTCCAGTTACAACAAGCAGGACATGTGGGCTTGTCCTACTCAGTACCTCCCATCGATCCTTTTTGCAAAGCCTATCTTATGATCCCAGGAGCTGTGCCGGAGGGAGCTTAGTGCTCCTGGTTGGTTCAACCAAGCTGACAACCCTGACCTAGAAAAAGCTTTTGTTACGGAAACAGCAACAAAGAATTCCTTCTCAACTGTGTGTTATAGCCTTCCAGAGTCACTTACAGTGATATGTATGACTTCCAGTGGTGAAAGCAGAGAAATGAAGAGCACGAATCACATTTGGGGCACTTTTAAGAGGCTGGCCAGAGAAAGACAGAAGGAGAGGACCTTTGTTGCTACCCTATGCACCAGTGGGGCTGAAGGGTGATCATGATGATGCATGCACATAGCATCAGACTTTAGCAAGGCCCAGGCTCACCTAGTCACACTCAGGTGTCAAGGCATAGCCATGCGGATTCCTCCACACTGAGAGAGTGAGAGTTTGTCTACACTTGCACCCTCTTTCAAGAGAGGGATGCAAATGAAGATATTTTAAATTGCAAATGAAGCCAGGATTTTAATATCCCGTGCTTCATTTGCATATTTGCATTATGGCACTATTTTGAAATAGCGCTATTTCAAAATAACAGACACTGTTAAGATGTGGTTATTTCAAGAGAAAACCCTTCTGTAAACAGGTTCGACCCTCAGAGTCCACTACGAGCTAATTGTGGTACAGAGAGTTCAGCCTGAGCAGTCACCATTAAGGCCGGTGGCCCTTTTATTACGCACATTCGCGTTTACACCTGAGCCGGATCGGCCTGATGGCGGAGTAGGGGGGTTCGGGCCTGCCCCCTCTCCGAACCTCGGCCCAGGGCCCTAAAGGCAGGGACCCGTGGTCCCTCCCTCGCGGATGGGGGAACGCCCCAAAACACACCCGCTCACGGGCTCCACGACCCCGCCCTGGGCCGCTTCCTACTCCACCAGGCCTCCCGGCCCGTCTCCCTTGACCCCGCTGGCCTCACCTCTCCTTCTTTCTCCCCTCCTCCAGCTCGGTCCGCCGCGCCCCCCTGCACCGTGCCGGTCCCGGGTTTAAATCCCCCGCCGGCTCCATTCCCCCTCCACGTCACTTCCCCTGCGATGCCTCCCAGCCACCCTTCCCCCGTGACATCATCCCCCTGCGCCTCGCCGGCCCCTCCCTCTTGGGCCCTGCCGGTCGGCGCCTCCTGCCTCCCGACGCTCCCCGCGCCGACTGCCG